CATGTTGATTAACTTATTCAAAAAGTTTTGACTCATATTGAATCATTTCAGCTTATCTTTTTTAGATTTAAATTCAATTTCAAGCTAATCATTTTTTAAAGCAAGACATTTCTTCAATGAGTTAGCAATACTTACCTTATCCTCAAGAATGATGATCTTCTCCTCAAGCTCAGTGATGACATAATTGCTTTCAAAATCTTTCCTCTTGCCTTCATCAATTTGTTTCCTTAGATCTTTATTCTCTCATTTTGCTTGGATAAGCTACTTTGTTAACTTATTGATTGCCTGTTTGACTTCTATGGTTTCTTTGACCATCTTCTTCAATCTTTCATCGTCTTTTTTAGCCTCTTACACCTGTTCATCATGAACTTCATTGTCTTCATTATCTAAAATATCAGAGTCAGATAAAGTAACGACGTGAGAACCTCTTTCAAGAAAAGAGACATAAGTAAAGCGACATAAGAAAAATCATTGGTATCATCATGAGGAGAATCATTATCACTTAAAGCAGAATTTTCAAACATAGAAACTTTCATTGATTTTCCTTTATTCCTATCATTTTGTTTTTTCCTAGGACTATGACAAATATTGGATGCGTGACCTTTGCCACCATAATTCCAGCAAGTGAATTCAGTTTCTTTTGATTCTTCTACTTACTTTTCATTAAACCTAAATTTTGACGTCTTGTCAAAATTTTGAGGATTGGCTATGCTGTCATTCTTTCTCCTCTGTTGTCTTTACAATATCAGAGTTATCATCCACAAAATTCTCAACCTGTGTTGATTTTAAAGCAAGATTTTTCTCCTTCTAATTTAAATCGAAGTTCTACATTGTAAAGGTTTTCAATGAACCTACAACCTCGTCAACTTTACAGAAGTTAAATCCCAATGTTCAGTGATGGTTCAACTCTAATCTGAAATCTTTTAGGTAACGACCTTAAGATTTTCTCACAGATTTTCTTATCACTAACCCTTTATCCTAAGTGACGCAGTTTAGAAATTATTTCAAGAAGACTAGAATAAAAATCAGGAAAAGATTTATCTTCTTTCATCACGATGTTCCTAAAGTTATGGGAAAATATCTGAATTTTGGATAACTTCACTTTTGAAGTTCCTTCATGAGTAACCAGTAAAATATCCCAAGCTTCTTTAGTAGTTTTACAATCAGAAATTCTAACATATTCAGATGGAACAACAGAATTAATAATTGCATATAAAGCTTTGCCATTAACATCATTACGCTCAGTTTCAACAGCAGTAAAAGCAAAAGCATCTTTTAACTCTTTAATTTCTTTACCATCCATAGTTTTATCTACTGTAGGTGGTGTATAGCCATTTTCAACTATTGCCCAAGTTTTACCACCTGAATTTTGCAAATGGGCTCTCATATTTGATTTCCAAAAATTGTAATTATCTCCTTCAAATAAAGGACCACGTTGATTAGAACCATCTTCTTTCAACGCATAAGACATGATTTTAAAACAATTTATGAAATCAATCAAAACTTTCTACAAGGATCAACTCAATGTGTAGAGATTGACTCTAATACCAATTTGTGAGTTGTACGCAACGGAATATTTAGAAAGTTTTGATTATTTTAAAAACAGATCTTGTGTTTTTTAACCTTTTTTATTTTACAATTAATAAATTAATATCATGCAATATAAAATAAAGCAAAGTAAAGTTAGAGATGAAAGTAGGATTTTTTGCGAGGAAACCCCAGTTGATAAAATACGTTAACTGTTTGTGTGGGAAAAACCTCGTGGATTGTGCAGTCCAAAGTAAACCGATCCACTATGCTTAAAATAAAGTACACTGAACTTTGATTTTGGCTCACACCCTATTGTTTTACCAAACACCAATTGCTGACAATTCTCTAACTTTGCGACTCCCCATCCAACAGTAACTTGACCTCAGACTTGAGCTTGATCTTTGTAGAAGAGTAGTCGGTAGATCAGACAACACTCCGGCCTCGAATGCTCCAACCCTTTCAAAGTGTGATCGCTTTTACTTCTGTTCTTCAACTTCTGGATTTGATGTAGAAGTAGATCTGTTTTTGTTTGATCGATGTAGATGCAACTGTATGATCACAATCATAATTCGAACAACACAATACTAAAATCACTATGTGAATATGTGTGTGTTCTAGAAAGATAAATAGAAAAATCTATAAGATTTTTTGAGACAAATATCTTTCTAAGGCTTTTAAGAATAATAAATTGACTGTGCAAAAGTCGTGAATAAACCTATGTGTATGACAAGGTTTATATAGAGTTTAAAATGTCCTAGTCCTTCTAAAAATATGGAAAAATTCATTCATAAGATTTGGTACAATTCTAGACCAACTAGGAAATAATTCTGAAACAGGAAACTTAAAGTTGTATTGTGAACAAGACTCTTTAAACCGGTTTAGAGGGGCTGAACCGGTTCAAGTTTGGCAGTTGGATTTTCAAATCCAAACTTGAAGCATTGAACCGGTTCAGAGGGGCTGAACCGATTAAAGTTGGCCAGAACTTGAAAGATGGTTCTTTTAAGCCTTAAACACTGTATACGGTAAGTCTGAACGGTATATCAAATGTAGAATGTCCTAACCTGTTTAAAATTCTTCCTAATGTGTTATTCTTACATTTTTCTTCGAATGATCTTCAATTATGGTAAGTTGAACAACTTTCCAATTCCGTAGTCCCGTCGATCTTGATAACTTGCATTACAAGTAACTTGAATTACAACCCGACTTGGACTTGTTTTGTTTAAGATAATTGTCAAATACAAAATAATATCTCACAATTAGAACATACTCTCTCTTCGAATAATAATTCTTTTCGGGAAAAAATAAATTAATTTTCTACTTTGGATAAAATTGTGAACTCCCTAATTTGGATGATGGTTGCAGCCTACAAATAATATGTGAGTTCATTTGGTATCATACTTTAAATTGAGTAGCCAAATCGGCATCTGTATTAAAAGACTCGTAAGAACTATTATAATCTATCCTACAGTGTTTCGAGGTCATCTCAATAGAATAGATGTTGAAAAGTTCTGGTCATCCATTCCAAATCAAACTTCATGCAGTAGATTACACCACCTTGTTCCCTTGAGTTTCTGCTCCCAAAAACACCATTTTTTTAGAGCTTAAAAGCCCTTTTAGGATCCTCCAAAAGCCCCCAGACACTACCTAGAAAAGTCCTTAGTTCCCTTATCACCCTTCAGTTTTCAAACACGACTGTTTGCACTTAAGACATTCTTTACAAAAAGGTAGAGAGCCATTCAAAAGTGTCGGCCATAATATATTTCCCTTGTTTTTCTTGGATGCCATTTCACTCTCTATCAAAGTGATCATTATGTTTATTATTTTAATTCTCTATTTTGTTCTTACACTCAAAAATGTTCTTGTGTATATGATACATGAAAAAAAATAAAAATAAAAAAAGATTGTTAATTATAATATTATTGTTGATTTAATTCTTAGAGGCTACAAATAATAAATTAATTGACATCTGATGGATGACACATCACAAGTCCAACTTTTCTCTCTTACAAAGTTTGGTATTGTCACAAGTATCTATGATCAATTAATATTTTTTTTCCCACAATGGATGCGAAGATTTGACTTCTAAACTTAAATAACACATAGAATTGTGATTTATTTAGCAAGTTGTTTTAACCATTTTTTTATTTTATAATAATACTATACTATAGTATGATATGGCTAACGTGTAACTAATATCCATATTGGACATCAATATATTTAATGTTATGGTCTTTAAAACAAAAAAAATAAAAATAAAAATAAAAACTAGGCAACAAGCCACAATGTTTGAACATCTAAAGTAAATGTATATTCAAATAACTACTGAAAGGTTAAAGGAGTTGTGGTGGCTCAAATAAAAAAGGGTGTCTAAAATTCATTGCTTTCAGTGTCTTAATACCGGAAGGTAAACAAATATCTTTATTTATAATAGGGTAAAGTGCATTAAATCCCCCTGAACTATTGGGGTATGTGCAAGAAATTCCCCTGAATTATAAAAATTGCAAAAAAATCATCTGAATTATTGGGATATGTGCAAGAAACCCCCCTGAACTATAAAAGTTTCAAAAAACTCCCCTGAACTATTGGGGTATGTGCAAAAAAACTCCATGAACTATATATTTTTTTTGTAGTTTACCCCATCCACGCGAATTGATTGACTTAAAGGGACAATGAAGCCGAGGAATTTGTTGCTGGGATCGGTAGGTCTCCTGTTATAGCTCAATCATAACCGTTGCACCACTAGCCAGATCCGTCGGCCATATATATCACACTTCTCTGCACCGTTGCGTCAGCCCATCGCCGTCACCGCTTTGCCCGCCATTCAGCTCACCTTGCTCGCCGGTCCATTCCACCGTCCATTCCAATCTTGCCGGCCCATTCCGCCATCTCCATAGCCGAGCACATCGCCGTCCATGTTTCGAGCACACAGCCATCCACAGTTCACCACCGAGCTCCCTTGAGCTCACCACCGCCTCCATAGTTCACGGCGGAGTCAACCAAGCTCTCATCATAGCCGAGTCCTCCGCGTACAAGCCGCCATCATCCAAGACCGAGTCATCCCGCCAACCTCGGATTTCTTTGGTCTCTTCTCTCTCTCTCTAGCTCTCAGTTTTGGGTTGTGTTGGGTGAAAGGCATCTTTTGGTAGAAAAAAAAATAAAAAGTGTATAAGTTAAAACGACGCAGTGTATGTGTTATAAGAGTAAACTGGTCTTTCAAAATTTTCGGTACCGGAAGCTGATGTCATGGGGGTAAATTGCAACAAAATCATAGTTCAGGGTTTTTTTTTTTGTAGTTTAAGGGAGTTTCTTGCAAATGACCAATAATTTAAGGGGATAAATTGCAACAAAATTATAGTTCAGGGAAATTTTTTGTAGTTCAGGGGGATTTCTTACAAATGACCAATAGTTCAGGGTTTAATGCACTTTACCCTTGATTTTTAGTGGTCATCAGCCCACTGTTTGGAAAAAGAGGTGGATGTTCATGTGTGATGGATGGCTGGAGAATGATAATTCTATGGGGTGCATTGGTCTGGCTGCCTTTATTTGCTGGTCCATTTGGAAGTGGTTTATAAGCATCCGCGCTGGGATCCTTTTGACGATGCTCAACGTGCTCTCTTTGCCTTTCAGGAGTTTTTGGAGGTGTCACGGCAACATTCGCTGTTAATTTATGAATTATGCTCTGCTGTGATGAATTTTATTGCATATCTTAGGTTTTAAAGATTCTATCCACAACACGAACACAATGTGTTTGATCACACACTGACTACAGCTTCTACTTTAAACATTTTACAGTGGTCTCTCTCTGTCAACTTCTTAGATCGTCAGTTCATCTTCACACCCGTATCAGAAAAACCAGAACCAACTACGAACAGATTGGTTTCATTCTGACCTTTTTACATATATATTTTCATCGCAATCTTGGTCATGCCCTCCGGAAACGCCGTCGTTTTCTGCGTTCTTGCATTGAGTTGCTTCGCTTCATTGATTTCTGCTCAACCAAAGTTGCCTCAAGACGAAGGTACATCAATTTGTCTATTTCTATTACTCTATATGATGATGCGTGATGTTTGGATGCCAAGAAAGTGTGGGAGAAGTGGTATATTGGATCTGTCATTAGCTGTTTCTACTTCCCTGATCCTTTCACGTTCTGTTTGGGTCAGTTGAGTTGGGTTATCGTTGAAAACCTAAACAATAAGGCTCAAAGGCATCTTTCTCCGATTTTACTCCATAACCAAACACAGGATTTAGGTTGGGGTTTCAGTTTTATTATTATTATTATTTTTAATTCCAAACGCAGGATGCATAACACATAACCAAACTGTGAGAGGCACATGAGTTTATGATGTTTAATTGTTTATAATTATGAAATCTAAGTTAAAATTTAAGTTGATTTGGTCAATTATTAATTTTACTTCAATTTACTGCGAGGCCTCGCCTGTTGATTGCCTTGGAACTACTCGATTCTAATTAAAGCTTGTGGAGTTTTGGATGGGTTAAGGGCATCTGGGTCACCAGTTGTAATGCTTGGTCATGAGTAATTTTGGTTTTTGTATTGTCAACTCTGCCAATTAGTTCCTCCTTTTATTTATTTATTATTTTTATTTTTTATCCTTTTACAGAATTTTGTCTGTTAATTGCTTTATTGACTAAGATGTTAAAACCAGGTTTCCGATGCTCACATTTTTTCTATACACTCACAAAGTCTAGATTTCAAAACTTCAAGCACTAGCCTGTAATCTAGTGGCTGCAGTTGTTGCACATTTATATCTCAATTTGAATTGCAATTTGAATATTTAATATGTTCATGATAACCATTTTTTTGTGTTCTATCTCTTATGCATCTAAGATGGTGTTTTTTTATTATATATTTTTATATTTTCTTCTTAGCTTTTCATGGAAATCTGACAGTAGGTACATTTTTATTCTTGTACAAGTCTATGAGGATTTCTTGTTCGTTCTGCTGACCAAAAAACTTTACATTGGAATTTAGTAATATAATTAGTGAATGCATCTCATTACACAAAATTTGAATATGGTTTTTGATTAGTACAAAATAATTGAAACCTATGTTTATTAGTGTATGTATGCTCCAAATAAATTAGAGAGAGAGTCAATTATTGTAAGATCCATTTGCACCTTTATTCTCTACTCTTACTGCAAAAGTCTTCTTCTATACAACTGACTCGTGTATGTGTAAAGGATGTCGTAAATATGTTCTGAATTGAGCATCCAAGTTAAGATTCTTTCCAGTAACTGGATTGGACCAGCAATACTTCTGGGTCCTGCTGCAGAGGCCGGGTTCTACCTGATTTTGTTGACCATCATGTAGCAGAAGAGGACTCCAGGCTGATTGAGGATCATTATGGTCATAACTTTGTTTAGGTTGGGCTTTGCCAAATTTCAATCAGGCCACTAATATTGTGTATTTTATAACTGAATTGGTGGATTTCATATGTCCTAGAACCAGCCACCTAGTTTTATAAGATTATTTTGGGTTGGCTGTCCATATTCTGCACAGCAGATCATTCTACTATTTGCAACAAATAATAGCAGTTCATAATTATTATTAACATAAAAAAGTTCAAATGAATATACTTCCGTATGATGTGCATGAGTACATGCTTATATTAGGCCACTCTAGAACGATTGATACTTATAGAAATATAAGTACATCTCATTCTTGATTGATAGATAAACGCATTATTGTGATAGAAGTAGTTGCTCAGGTTCCATAAAGTTTTCAATGGACTTCAATTTGTAGAAGCTAAAGCACTTTCAGTTCAACTGCATGTGATAATACAGTTTTTGATTTGTGGAGTGGCAAGATATGGAAAAGATGTAGAAAAGATGAGTGAAAGTTGTTTAAGATGGTTTGATTCAGTTGAGTGCATTGGTATTTCGCAAATTATATACTTTTAATGAATATAAGTCCTGAATTATTTGTGAACTTCCATTTGCATTTTGAATAATGTTAAGTACAGCTCATCCCTCCTTCCTTTCTCATTACTCTTGATATGCCTTGTTTCTCCCTCACCCCAATCTCTTAGTACATTTTAGTTCCAATCTATTCCTGAAATCATTGATGTATTGTGTTGTTTCCAGTAACTTTTTGAAGGAAATGGATGTGGTGAATTTTTACTTCATTTTTCCATAAAATGTTAACTTCCAATTGTCCTGGGGTCGAGTTATACTATAGCCCTGTTCAACATGCTGTATCTATTATTGTTCACACAAGTTCTTGTTTTTGCGAAAAGTTCTAATCACATGTTAAAATCAATGCATTTAAAAAATATTAGGACTAGTCTATTGGAGTGGTGGACTGTGAAGTTAGCTACATACGTCCTAAGATTGGAAATGCTAAGTAAGGTAACATGAAGCTGGTTATATCTATTGAAGGAGCTGCTCAGAACTAGCAGCTTATATTGAGTCTAACCAAAGCTTGAGGACTATAATGAAGGTTTTTTTTTATCCAATTGGACGAGTTTGAAAGATGGTTATGATTTGAAAATCTATGAAATTTTGCTATTTTTTTTCCTTGCATCTAATAATATCCTTGAAACATAATTTTCCTCTCCATTGAGTTATTTAAGTTCACATCATACAACATAGATTCATTATTTGAAGCCAATTTCTTTCGTGTGTGTCATTTAGTGTATGCACTTCAGCAAATTCTAACTACAATGGGTGCAACATATTTGAAGTTCAATGCTGATTCTTGCCAACTTGAAATGGTGGCTGGGAGACAGGCACCTAGTGGTTCTGAATGCAATGTTGAATGTGATTGCCAGTTTGAGAACAACACCGTTTGTCACGTCGTAAGCATGTATAGATTCTTGATCTTATTACTGAATATGTTGCTTTAACTTTTCTATGCAATCACGGTGCATGTGATTCTGTATCTCCTGACGTGTTTTTAGATATTTTGAACACTATCCAAACCACTTTAAATTAAGAAATGAATTGGTAAAATATAATGCAATTGGAAGGTAACAGTTGTAGTTAAAATCAAGAACCTGGATAAACGTAGTTACTTTCTCTCTCCACCCTACTCCTCACCTTATTCTGTCTTTGTATGACTCCCTCTTTCTTTTTTTATTCTTCTTACTCTGTCATTTCTTTCTTTCTGTTTAGCACATCCCAAAAGTTAAGACAGGCTCTATGTTCCAAGAGAAACCTCTAATACAACCTTAAAGGATGTTGTTACTGCGAAAATAAATAAAGAAGATTTAAAGGGAAGATTTCTATGGCATATGAGCATAGGTTCTATTATTATTTTTGGCTTAACAATTGAAAAAAAATTATCATGTTTGCAGTGTGCTTAAGAAATATAGTCTTCCTGGCGTGCTTCCACCTGAACTGGTGAATCTTCCTTATCTCCAAACAATGTAAGAGCCTTCGCAAATGCCAGTGTCATGTTAGAATTTGAACTGTAGCAGTTTTTTATACAGTACCCTAGATATGAAATAAAATTCTACTATACTGATTCTTGTTCCATCCTTATCTCATTTGTAGTGATTTTGCGTATAATTACCTTAATGGTACCATACCACGTGAGTGGGCTTCATTACATTTGAATACAATGTAAGCTTTATCTTTTTTCCTCTTTGTGAAGAAGTCAGTATTCATAAGTTTCTCATTTTGTAAATTTGGTCATTGAATTGTTGATGTAGCTCTGTTCTCGCGAACCGCTTATCAGGGGAAATCCCAAAAGAGTTGGGAACTTTTTCCAATCTCACATACCTGTAAGTCATCAGCTTTGGTTTATCCAATTTCTTTTTGGACTGTCATGGTGATAGAAGTCTATAAACTGAGTAGATCTTTTATCTCATTTGTGTTCTTGTTTCTTTCTTTTCTTTTTTTTTTTTTTTTTTTTTTCTTCCATAGTTGGTATTCACACACACATGCCTCCACTGAGGCTTGAACCCTTGACCTCCCTTTGGGAAGTTAGGGCCTGATACCGCTAAGCCACCGACCCGTTGGTTGTTCTTGTTTCTTTTGAAACTGAAATAGTAGGGTGTCTTCCTTTTTTCGATAGGTAAGACACTTAGTCCCAGTTGGGACTTGAATCCTCAACCTCCTTTTTGGAGGTAGAGGAGATACCACTCAAGCTAATGCTTCATGGAAGATGTTATCTTTGATACCCCTAAGATTCTAGAGCCACGGGTGATCAAGTCCGAGCACAGATCCGAGGGATACCAAACAATTAATACATAAACGAACACAGATTACAAAATAGATTTACGAAATAAATATTAAAGCTGGAAATAATACTAAATTTAAAATCCTCCAAATGATAAAGATTAATAAAAACCCAAATCTCCAAAATAGATACAACTCGGGAATCCATCTAGTGGACCCCTAAAATCCAAACTGAAATAATCAGCTGAAGACAAAATCCTAATCTAGAATATAAAATGAAATCCTACATTATCGGAGGAGTGAGTGTCTGTATCTGCTCTGCACGTCCAACCTCTAGCCCTGGAACTGACAACACCTGAAAAATAAAGGAGTGGGTCAGGCCCACATGCAAGTCCTATTCTACTATGATCTAATTAGAAACCCGATACGCAGATACATCCTAGATAGCTCAACAATATCTAAAGTAGTCCATATAAATATAATTACACACTATAGGACGCTCACTAGTCCAAGTGGTACGTCTCATCCTGAGTAGAGATACCATGCAAATCGCACATACTGTGGTCATGTGTATCTAGACCTACCAGGGAACAGAAACCACCGTCCAGTTATCCATCCTAGACGATATACGCACCCTAACCATGGTCCTGAGACTCAAGCTCATACCATGGCACCATAACATAACTATATAAAGTCCGTTCAAGGTGTGTCATTCAAAAGGTTTATTGACCTGACACCAACTTATAAGTAGGACTTAACATTTTGCAGTTAATCCATCTTATTTCAAAATAGGTAGGACTTAGTGTTTGAACTAATCCATCCCCAATATGCCACCGTCCCATACCGGTGCATATACATACCTCCATATAATAAAATTGATTAAACAGTATTAAGCAATTCATCAATTATACTCCACACTATGCATCAATATAAATTAATACATATATATTAGTATTAGGCATTAAATATAGGGCCTAAAAATAACATTCCAATAATGTAAACTGCTAAAATAATCTAAGCATTTACATTCTCCAACTTGTCCATAAATTGATGCAGTTAAATAGCAAACATATATCAATTTTTAATCCAAACAAAGCATAGGTAATTTCAGGTAAATCACTATACTTATAACTCCATTTAAATATGATTCACAATTTTAAATCATAAATTAAAACAATATCCAATTTACAGTAATAAATTTCTTAACCATAACAGTGCACAACCTACAGGTTTTTCCCCAAGTTCACCCCACTCCATTCCTTAATCAAATTATGAATAGATGTTTCCCTATTGTTTTTTATTGGTTTACAACATTCCTACACATGATTTAAAATAGTTTAAACCAAGTAGAAATACCCTGCACCGACCAAACAGACCCTAAAAATACATAACTGTGTGTTTCAGAGGAAGAAAAGGCTCAGAAAAATTTAGAGCCTTCTCCAAAATATGGGAGCCGGCTCCCCACCCTTGGGAGCCGGCTCTAAGGCCTTGGGAGCCGGCTTCCTACATGTGGGAGCCGGCTCTTGCATTGTGGGAGGCGGCTCCCTCCTTTGGGAGCTGTCTCTCTCACCCCTAAGAGCCGTCTCCTCGTCTCTGCTTCGTTTTCCTCGACTCCGGCGTGTTCCACGACCTCTGTATTTGTTTCAATACTTGCTCTAAGGTTTAATTAGTGTCCTACAACAGTTATAAAGCATTGACATGCATCAAAGACATCAATTAAACAAAGCTTAAACTTAAACGAAGCATGCATCAATTAACCGAACTGAAAGAACTTGTAATACAGTTTAATTCCAACAAAGCTATTTCAGTTTACCCAGGCCTCTGTAAATCTTTTACTACGTGTTCTATTATTCCATCAATGTCCCAGACTAATTTTTAAGACATCAATATGCATCAAGGTTCTCAATTAAACATACTTTAAACACAACAACGGTATGAACCAGTTAACAGAGATTACAGAAATTCGCATATCAATTTAATTCAATGGAACTAAAAATATTTCAAACATGCAATAAAGACTTGTTTTAGCATCCATTAAAGCCCTGGAGTCTACCTAGGCATGCGCAGAACACGAGTTAAAGGGAAAGAGCTAGAACAAGACTTGCCTCCGATTTCAATTCAGAAACCTTTAAACCTCCGTCTCTAGCAACTCCGGCGACCTTAGTTGTTTTTTACTGACCTTCGTTGCTCCTAATTCAATCCACGAGTATGCATCAACACCTCCTCCTTGGTTCAGCCCTTGACTCTAAGCCAACCCGAACCTTTCTTTCTCTGTTCTCTCTCTGTTCTCTCTCTGTTCTCACAACTCTCTGTAGGACTCTGTTACGTGAATAGGGTTAACCAAAACCCTTGGCAGACCTATACTTATATATTTATAGGTTTTAATTGAAACCATAATTTAAATCCTACACCAACCCTAAGTCGGCTACGTTCAAACATAAAACCCTAGAATCCATCCACTACCTAAGTCGGTTAGCATTTTTAAATTTATACGTGCATGTACAAGAGAAATACAATTTAATAGTTAATGCAAGAAAATAACTTTAGACAATCAATTAAAGAAAAACAAATACACAATTAATTGAATTAAAATAAAATAAATCAAATAAGCAAATAAATGAAATTTAAACACCCAACTAACACATTTAAATCAAATAATTTAACAATTAATGCAAATACACACTTAATCAATTTAAAAATGCAAAATAAACAGTTAATTAAATACCAAACCTATCCTTTTGAATTTAGGGGTATTACATTATCTTTCCTCCATGCATTCAGTGTATTGTAAAATAACTTGAATATTGTATTCCTGTTCTGCTCTTTTAGTAATATTGAATGAGATTTATAACCAGGAGCCTTGAAGCAAATCAATTTTCTGGGACTGTTCCTCCTGAGCTTGGAAAATTAATTAACTTGGACACTTTGTAAGTCATCTCGCTTTATTCTTCTTCTTTTGGTTTAATCCCTGAATTAAGTTTGTGAGAGATGGAAAACATTTAACTTTTGCTTTTGCAACATAATATTTGAATCAAGGATGTTGTCCTCCAATCACTTGACGGGAAAGCTACCAATGGAATTTTCTGGGCTAAGAAATTTAACCGATTTGTAAGTTTCTGTAACATTTTCTTTGATTTCTTACAGTAATTTCAATAGTGTCAGTTCAGCACCATTCTCTTACACAATGCAGTAGGATAAACGATAACAACTTCAATGGAACAATACCGGATTTTATACAGAACTGGAAAAAACTTCAAAGATTGTAAGCTACTTATCTATCCAAAAGTGTCTTTTGAGAATTTAGCACAAGCACATAGGTTTTGCATCATCTTTTTTAAAATTTAATTCACATTTACATCAATGAAGAGAAATGCATGCAAGTGGACTGGAGGGACCCATTCCTTCGAGCATATCTCTTCTGGACAAGTTAACTGAATTGTGAGTATAGATCCTCCTCATGCTTTGTTTTATTTTGCTCATCAATTGCTTGATCTACTGTTGAAGGGATCTATCTGCTTTTTGTGCTATCTCTTTAAACAGAAGGATTAGTGACATAAATGGGATGAATCAGGGATTTCCCAATCTGAGCAACGCTGAAGGCTTAGTAAGACTGTATGTAGACTGATATATGTTACTGATATTTATAGGCATACATTGGATAAAATGCCGTACAGTCTTCATCGTGATTAATTTTATGGATTAGGGTTCTGAGAAACTGCAACATTTCCGGAGAAGTCCCCCCATACATTTGGATAATGAAGAACCTGCAAATGTTGTAAGTAGAACCTGTTAATTTTTGGTGTTTGAATTTTATTTATTGGGTTTCAGCATTTTCGTCAATGTGTAATTGACTACATTTCTACAGTGATACAGTGATTACTTTGGTTGAATATAATAGGAATATCTACATTATATTTTCCTTAACTCGGTCTCTCAATTGATCGGTTGAGTACCTAAACCTTCAACTTGCTTCAAAGGAGGTCCAATGTTGCTTTTGTCAATTCTTTTGAACTGCAAAAACTTTTGCTAGTTAACTAGCCTCTTGTGAAAATGTAGTTTTCTTTTTTCATATTCCCGAGGTGAGGTGGGCTGGGGTTTGAGGGCATCTTAATGTGGAAGTGAAGTTAAACATCAGGCCAATTAATAGGTTTCCCAAGATGGGAAAAAATGAATCAAGTGAGGCCTAGATAGAAAAATGCATTATCAAATAATTTGATGTCGAATTCCAGTAGCTGATGCAAGGCACATGCAATTACCTGCACTAAACCTGTACAGTGCATAAAATATTAAGTAATTCTTCTAACATGTTTTTGTTTAACGTAAACTACTCTGACCTCCCTGAGGTTTGGACTGATAACCTGTGGATGGAACTTTTGAAATTTTTGGTGAACCTCCCTGCGGTTTTATTGACTCTCTGACCTCCCCTAAAGAAGTTTTTGTAAAATGTCTATTTTGCCCTTTGTTTTGATAAAAAAAGACTTTATATCCTTGTTCATCCTTCTAAAATTACATGTATGACCCTTTTATAAATTTTTTTAAAATGAGAACAATTTTTCCGATATTGTTCACAGTCAGCAGCACTGCTGCTGATCAACTCCATCTTCTCATTCCTCTTGTACCTCTATAATTGTTACTGCTACCTCTCCTCCAATTTTCTCTTTCTTCTCTCCTTCCTTCACTAATTTTTTTTTTTCTCTCTTTTCTCTTTTCTCCATCTCATACTGCTCCTCTCCATCCCTCCAACCTCCTCCTCTCTCTCTTTCTCTCAAATCAATCAACTTTTATTCCTTCTCTCTGTAAAACCCCGATAGATAAAGAGAAAGAGAAGGAAAAAAGGGACTTTAGAGAGAAAAAGGGAAGAACATAGATAAATTAGTAGCGAATAATGTAGATAGAGAAAAAACTGGATTTTCTTTTCCAATCAAAATTTGAGTTTTGTTTTTGACTATTTCTACCCCTTTATTCAATCAGCCAATTGGAAGGCAAGTTGATACCTGAAACAATAGCGGACTGTGCTGAAATTCCTCCATTACTTCAGTATCTCTTTATATATGTATCTATCTATACATATGCATACTTGGATATAACAATTTTTTAATATACAAGGTGTTTGGCAATTAATGGTAGAGGCTGAATTGGAATAAAAATCAAAAGGCTCTACCATCAACTCAACTCAACAAAATCATTTCTAGATCCCTCTATCTATCAAAATATAGGTTAAGGTTTTGATTTTGATATTTCTTAAAGAAGCAAACTTATGTTTGATGAATATGCAAGTCAAAGAAAATAGATTTATGGGGTGTACAGCTCAGGTCTACTTGAACACAAAGATGGACAGCTACGGGAACATGAGGTTTTCGGCAGATAGTGATACAAGATTATGAATGGAAGGAGTTGTCTAACAGCTTGGTTATTCTTCAAGAAAATGTTGTTCTGGCCATAGAGGAAGAATGAGGCTTTTTTCATGACATAGGTGATGATGGAGAAGGAACCGGTTTAGAGAGAAATAATGCGAGAGAAGAGAAAGGAGGTAGTGCTGGTTGAATGAGGTGGTAGTGGTGGGGGCGATGGCTTAGAGGGAGAAGTAATGGAGAGATAGATAGATATAGGGCGTGTGTGATTTGGCGGGTGACTGGTGGGTGTGGCAGTGTTGGTTTAGAATGTGGAAATGTGAACAGAGGGAAAGAGCTAGATAGAAAAGAGATTGGGGTATTTTGGTCATATTGATATTTTATATTTTTTATCTTCTAATATGTTCTAATATAATGAAGATAAATTGTAAATGTGCATAAACAATAGGGCTGCTTGACATGCTAACTCTAACAAGGGGTGTCAAGAGTTATTTTCCCCTAAAACTTTTGTCTATTGGTTATTAGTCCAAAATTAATTCATCAATTTCTTTTAAACTAAAGAACTTCAAACTTTTCATATTATCTAAAATTTCTAATATTTTGTTGTGGACAACAGATTGTTGGAACAATTTATCCATTGTAACAGGAAAAATTGTATTCATCTACCATAAAGAAGCTAATTTTGTATTCAAGCAAAAAAAAACATTTCCAGGTTTTTTGGAATAACACATGCCACAATATAGAGGAATTGGTTCTCTTCTCTTTGAAGTCGAGGCTTAAAGTATGGTTTCTAGTAATGTCATAACAGATGTTTTATAGTTTTTATGTGGTTAATTGGATTGACAAAGGCAATTGTGGTCCACAAATCTATGTTACATTTTTAGAAGTGGTTGATTTCTCAAGAAGTGGTCCAAACCATTTCCTGGATTTCTAGTTGGCAAATTTTTATTTGAATTTTTGGTGAAGAGGGTGGTGTTCTCTTTCAGAGATTTAGTAGAATATAATATGCGATCTCCCATGCATCTGAATAACTGGTTTTCGTCTCCATTTCTCTTTTTATTTTCTTCAGAAGTTCTGTTCCTCAATCTTGTACATTCAGTCTCTCTTCTAGAGTGTAAATGCACTTGACTGGTAAATACACTCATGAATTATTCTAACTGATTCTCTTTTCCTTGTATTTCTTGTCTTGTGATTTGGATAGGGATGTTAGTTTTAACAGGTTAACTGGTGAAATTCCAAATGACATAAACACAAGAACCTTAAAGTTCGTGTAAGTTTGACACTCAATATTTAGGCTGCATTTGATCATGTTATTGTGATGAACTTTCATTTTGCGAGTCTAAAACTTGCTAACAAATTGTTATGAAACAATCCTTCGGCTTCATATTAAAGCTACCAACGGTTTTCGCGATTGATTGTTTCTGTTAGTTCCATGAAATGCTACCAACTGCATTGCTACAATGCCATCATGTTCCGGAGTTCCTATATTGCGTGCTAACTATATCATGTTGCTTTGAGCAGGTTTTTAAGTGGCAACATGTTAAGCGGAGATATACCTGCCTCAATCTTGAAGGAGGGAAGTAATATGTACGTTTATTAGCTGGGATTCCCTAGATGTGTTTTTGTGAGAGTAGGATTATATGGTAATGTTATTGTGATCCACTTTTTTCTGCATGCACATCATTGTCATCCTGAATGACAGTGGAGTCCTGTGTGCAAAAGTTGAGCACATATAGGGCTGCCTGTATATGTGGTTGACTTTTGCTGATCTGTTTTAATCTTGATATTCTTAGATCTCAGTGCTCATTATATTTACTATCATCTTTTAAAGCTCATGAATGCTTATTATTGCATGTGAAGACACAATGCATTGAAAATTTTATATATTAACAAAGGGAAGCCAATTTTCATAATTTGTTGACATGTTAACCTTTTACTTCGTACATACATTCTTTCTAGTTAATAACAGTTTGACCAGTTGACTTTTGATTCCTTACATTTTTTACCTTGAATTTTCCCTGCTCATGGTGATTAAAAAGGATTAAAAAACTATACAGGAAGTTACTTTATTTCGTTGTAAGGACTAAAAAGAATCTAGGTGTAGCTGTTTTTTAGTATTGCCTTTAGGTTAATCTATAAACAGAAGCATTCCAGTTATTTTATTTACCTCAGTTTTTTATGCAGGAACATTGACCTGGCCATTTTAGAATAATCTAGGCCTTTAAGTTGTAAAATGTTGAGATGAAGGATTGTTCAATTTGTTTTTCTTTTCCTTATGATTTTGAGATTCTAAAGTGAAGAATGATGTTCATAATTTAGTGAACCCGAATACCCTTAGTTAAGTTGTCCAAGTGGAAAGCTAATAGACTTGCAATCCCATAGGGGCTTGGTGAATGTAACCACTAATGTGATCAAGTTACTGAGGTGCACCCTTGGTGATCCTGGTGGTTATCACACTCTCAACGTCAGTCTCAGAGGCTCGAGTCCCCTTGTTACAGGAAGAGAAAAAAATAAATTACTGAGATGTATTGACTTCATACCAGTGCATCTCACAACAATTTCAGTAATTTTGTTCTCCATATTTAAATTACAGTTCCGGGGTTATAACAATTAAGTTTTGAAAAAAATATTTTATTTCTACATGAAATTAGAGCATTTTAAGATTTAAGGGTCTTCGGCAAGTCGCGTCTTCCACTTCTGGTGTTAGGAATACTTCAATGCATATTTCATTTATGTCTTCACCCAATATGAGATTATGAGTTGATCTTTTAGTCTCAAAATCTGATATATTATTATATTTTAGTAAGAAAAAACACATCGATGAAAGATAAATCATGCAAATGAGGGATGAGCCATTCTTCCCAAGGACAATCATGAATATACATTGGAAGAAATAGAAACTTCATTAACGAGAAACACTGTCCTTCTGCATCACACAACTTGAGCGTAAGATGTCCCCAAATGTTGTAGAATTGTTGACCTCTTTTTGCCAACTCATTTGCTTCTAAATTGTCCTCTCTGGCTACAATTATAAACTCTGCTTCAATTATCTTTCTTTCTTTTTTTTTTTTTTGGAAGTTAAAGCAAACACACGCACCCATCATCCACAACCTAGTGAGACTCGAACTCTCAACCTCCCCATTTGGGGAGGAGAGATCATACCATCTGGCTAAAAGCCCTTTGGTAAACTCTGCTTCCGTTGATGGTATTGTACAAAATTTAGATGAATTATAAGTAGAAAAATCAATCAAACCCGTATAATAGCGAAAGACTTCAACTAATTTGTGTAAAATCATCATTCATTATGCATTCTTCCAACTAATTTAGGAAAACAAAGATGCTCAGCTATTCTGCTGAATCAAAAAGCATATATATTAAAGCATGGTTTTAAGTTTCACTCTTAATTTATTTGTCCATTACATTCTTTCACTCTTCATTTGTGGTTTCAACTTGCACCGACTTACTCTTGTCCTGTAATGGCTCCACTGGTTTTCCTTTACATGTTTAATCCATTTCAGTCACGTGTCAGCTTCTGGCTCTCCTCACTCAGTTTCTAATATTATCCTTTTAGTTTTCCCAGTATTTACATTTTAGAGTCCTTCTCTAATATACCACTTATATGAAAAATTTAGCATCTGGATTGCCTATTAGTTGTACCTTATGGCACACAACTGGTCAAATTGTTATGCCGTAAAGATTCCCTTCAGGGAACTGTAACTCCATTTCAGAGTGCCAATTCGCCCCCATTTTCACTTGGAAATGATCCAAGTTGTTCTTGAATGGGTTTTGTTGAGGTATAATTTTCAGTTGCTGTTCAATTCCGACAACCATTCTTGTGCTGCATTAGCTGTTTGGTTTTTTTCTTTCACGAGGAAGAAGTCTTGTTTTTTTTTTTTTCCTACGTTTTTTGCAGGGAGAAGATTCAATCCTCTCTTACTCCTAGTTTTTTCGTCACCATTGGCACCGATCCAGGGAAATTGCTGATTCTTTGATTGTTAATTAGCTGCAATACTCATTATTACTGCATTTTCATGGTGGTGATAATTTGATGATCTATTTGGTTTTCATAGCATAATTTTTTCATATTCATAAAAATTAAACAGATAATCCCAATATATATCTCTTTTATTTTATTACTTCCAAAAATTGAATATCTTACTCATGCATGGGATATCTTTTATTCTGATACTTCCAAAAATTGAATGTGTTACTCATGCATATCCCAATACATGTTGATGCCTCGACAAACAATCTTTCTGATAAGAATGAAAAGAACAATTGATAATTGATTAATTACAACTATTAAATTGAATTCCTTAGGGATTTTTTAAACCCATAACACATAATGGTTATATTATCACATTTTACATTTTATTTTGATGCGCAAGGTGAAGCTAAATTACTTGATTGACTAACATTTAGTTGTGGTTTAAAAATTTCTTAGAAACAGCATTTCTTCGTTCTGGCTTCAAACTAATTATACTCGTATCATTACAGACACTATCTCTTACTTTTCTGGTTTTAAGATAATTAAATTTCTATTTATATCACTGTAACTATAAATATGCTGACAATTAATGTTAATAATTGCTTGCAGTGATCTTTCCTACAATAACTTTACATGGCAAGGTCCTGAGCAACCCTCTTGTCAAGAAAACATGTCAGAATACATCGTTATATCTTTTCTCCTTTATGCATCCCAATTAAATGGAATTCTTGTGGTGATGATAATTGTGCTGTCTTTTCTCATCTTACCAGGAATCTATACATAAACTTGTTTAAAAGCTCTTCAGCAGAACACCCCTTGTAAGATGTTTTGTCTTGCTTTCCTAAAGTTCTACACTTAAGTTTTATATTTTACAATCATAGGAGAAAAAAGTTTCAATTTTAAGGTTGTTCAATTTCCTATTTAGTGACTTATGAAAAAAAATAAAAAATATCCTATTTAGTGTACTTTTGATGCTAATCATTCTTGTATTCATTCTGTAACAGAAAGAGTATTCTTCCATGTACAAAGGATTTCAACTGTCCACGATGTAAGTATTTCTTTGGAGTACCAATATTGTGCACTACCTTAAAATCCTTTTTATTTATACAGAAGTTCAATATAACTTTTCCTTTAACCATAATCTAATTTTGTGGAGCAACCTTATTTTTACAAAGTCTATTCAACCTACCAATTTGTTAATAGAGACAACTGCACTAGCAGACCTGTTAAAATAACTAAGATTGCAAGACCAGTAAAGGTGGATTTCAAATTTCTTTTTTGATAAGGTGGAATTCACTTAGCCCATGTTTCTGCTTTTATCAACCGGACATACATACATACATATATATATGTATCTTTTGATTTTAGGATTGGAGCTGGGTGGACAAAATGGAGGCAAGCTAATGGTGTCCTTTGTGACAAACGAATACCAAATAAATTAAAAGAAAAATTCTATGGAACGGTTATTAGGCCGACAATATTGTATGGAACGAAGTGTTGGGTGTTGAAAAAGAGACAAATACAATGCATTCATGTAGCAGAAATGAGATTGCTATGTCGGATGATAGGAATCTGATGAAGAACCAGGCGTGGCTCGAGAGTTTGAATTACACATGACTCTCATCTATGCATGGAGGAGAGTCAAGGACAGATAGATTTTATAGTTTTCCTATATATTGTGGGAACTATAATAAATCTTGGGTAGTTTTGCAATATTTCCTTTTAATTATTACTAGGCTTAGGTTTGCCTTTAAATAAGGTATGCTGCCCTGCAGCTGTGTTGAAACTGAGCACACCTATTTCCCAACTTTAAGCATAGGTGTGGCGATATGTTTCACTATTGCTTATGGCAACCCTTGTTGACTTGTTTATGTCTGCAGCAGTTGTTTTGGACATTAGGGTCTTTGTATTGCCTATATATAGATGGGCATATGTATTGTCTTAGTAGTTTTTGATGAATATTGAATATTGAGCACTGAATTGCAGATTTCATCTCCCTCAGATTCTTCCTCTCTCGTCTCTTCTCATCTCTTCTTCACTCTCTCTTCTGGATTCTACTTCTCACTCTACTTCACTCTCACTACTCTCTTCTACATCTGGTTCTGCTTCAGTTCTCTCTTCCCAGTCTACTTGTGTCCTACATCATTTGGTATCAAATATTTTGTGTCCTACATCAATTTGGTATCAGAGCAAAGGATCCATAGCATTCTGTTTACAACAACTCAAACCCATTTAAACTCCCACACAACCCCTAACCACTGCCAATCATCACCATGTCATTTGATTTCCTCAAATCAGCCCCATCCCCGCCACCAAAATCCTAACCCCGCTGCGTCACTCACAGAAATCCATCCCTAACACCAAACAACACCCACGCAACCAAAATGCAAAACCACACCACCGCTGTCTTGCCCTCCATGAGCCCCAATATCGGCAACCCGAACAGTCCCTAACTGCTGTCAGTAACAAAACCACCACTAAAATCCCAAACCGCTGCTTCACTTCACGGAAAACCTATCATCCCGTAACCAGCCTCTGCAACAAGCAACAAAACACAACACAGAAGTCATCCTTGTTAAACCAAATACCCAATCAGCCAAACAAAACCCAACCCACCACCGCAAAACCCATCTGTCGCAAACTCCAAAACAACACCCAAACTGCCACCGATCACCACAAACCAAGCACACCTTAGCCTTCATCATTAAGACTTACCAACACAAAACCCACAAAGAAGACTTAACAAACAAAAGAAAAAAAAAAAAGAAGCAAAAGATCCAAGTTTCAGATTAGCAAGCCTTTAACCCATTCACTGTTTCTCGCACTCCAACTCACCACCCAAGCAACACCTAACTGAAAACCATTTCACCCACGCAAGAACCTTCAAACAACTCAGAACCGTACCCACTGTCATTCCCATAAGCCCCAAACACCGTCACTCCATCAGTACTCATTATACTTCCATGGGAATTGGAAATAGGCTTCTTCAATGGGGGTTGAAGAAGCCTATTTCCAATGTAGCCTATTTCCTCTATCTGGGAATTACACTTCCATGGGAATTACACCACCAGATCTTCCGTATAATGATGAACAGATGATGGATCTTTCAAAAATCTATCTGAGAGATTTAGTCTATCTTATAGCAAGAAGGTCAGAATTCTCAACACATTTGCAGAAGTCAAGTCATATTTGATAATGCTAGATTTGGAATGTGATGAGTTGATTGTCAGGATGTTCCAGCACTTTTAAAAAAGAAATAAGGGATTATCATGGGGTCAGTATCTTTAAATCGATGGAGACTATAATGACTCATGTACTAGAGAAAAGTGATTTTGTTTTGCAGGAGCTAGTTGACACTCTTCTAGCTAGTGAAACTACAGCTAATGTGGAGGCTCGAATAGTAGGTGAGCTAGTACTCAAGAACTGTGCATTGATTCTTCAACCTTACTTTCAGTGATGGACCAAGGAGAGCAGTTTGATTACATCTCCAAATCCGGAAGCATCAAATGAGAAAACTTCAAATAAGACTAAAGATAACATGCAGGAGTTATCCTCTCCTAGCGAGTTGTCTTCTGCTACGGATGTTCATCATATTGATTTTTTGTTGGGGATAAAGTTACAGGCGACTACAACTACTGCATTGGGGAGCAGTATATAGGGAAATTTCTTGTTGAAAAGAAAACGCTTTATCTTGTTGCGGTACTTGAGCCTAGAAATTCCAAGTTCATTGTTGGATGCATTCTATGGGGTCAATACTTTTGTTTTAACTCTTCGGAGAAGAGTTCTTCTCAACCAGGAGGGAAAGATGAAGAACCAGGCATGGCCGGAGAGTTTGAATTGCACATGACTCTTATCTATGCATGGAGGAGAGGCAAGGACAGATAGATTTTATAGAAAAGTAACTTGGTGAAATTGGCGTACTCAATTTGAGAGCTTGACTATCATTATATACAAGAGGAAAATTACAAATATGGAAAGAGAATAAAATCAAATTAGAATAAAAATAAAATCCCTAAATATTAGCCTATATTGAAGACCCAATAAATCTGCCACAATCATTGAGTCAACTTATGGATATGATTTCCAACACTCCCCCTCAAGCTGGAGCAAATATGTTAACCAAGCCCAGCTTGACTATAGAAGACTGGAGAAGAGAAGGCCCAACAGACTTTGTGAACACATCTGCAGTCTGTTCTGAAGAGGGAACAAAAATAGGATTAATGATACCTGATCGAACCTTCTCTCGAATAAAGTGAATGTCTACCTCAATATGTTTCGATCTTTCATGTAAAACAGAATCGGAAGCAAGCATAATGGCTGATTTATTGTCACAAAACAGCCTTGAAGAACCTTTCTTTGCAAGACCCAACTCTCCCAAAATTGATTGAAGCCAAAGGAGCTCACAAGTACCTTGAGCCATAGCTCGGTATTCAGCTTCAGCAGAGGATCTAGAGACAACAGCTTGCTTCTTACTCTTCCATGATATGAGATGATTACCATAGAAAGTACAGAAGCCAGAGGTAGATCGTCTATCTGTCTTACATCCAGCATAGTCTGCATCAGTAAAGCATGAGAGTCCAGACTGATTTCCTTAGGCATAGAACAGACCAAGACCAGGGCACGACTTAAGATACCTCAAAATATGGTAGACTGCATCCATAGGAGTTGAGCGAGGGGCATGCATGAATTGACTAACCACACTAATAGCAAATGTCAAATCGGGCCTTGTGTTAGTCAAATAGATAAGACGACCTACTAAACGTTGATACACGGATGGATCTGAAAGTAATTCCCCTGACTCAACAGAGAGTTTGAGATTGGGGTCCATAGGAGTGGAAGCGGGTCGACACCCAAGCATGCCAGTATCTTGAAGAAGATCCAAAACATATTTCCTTTGAGTTAAAGAAATTCCACGACGTGATCTAGCAACCTCAATTCCAAGAAAATATCGAAGAGGACCTAAGTCCTTCACATCAAAGGACTTATGAAGATGAAGTTTCGCCTGAGCAATCCCTGAAGCATCATCACCTGTGATAATGATATCGTCCACATATACCAATAACATAATGCAACGACCATCAGAGCGACGTCGAATAAAGCAAGTATGGTCTGAGTGGCAGTGCACAAAGCCCATGGATAGAACAACATCGCTGAAACAACTGAACCAAGCTCTAGGAGATTGCTTCAGACCATAAAGAGACTTCCGCTACCTACAAACTTTCCCAGCATACTCCCCCTCAGCCCGAAATCCAGGGGGTGGATCCATATATATAGTCTCAAGTAAGTCTCCATTAAGAAATGCATTCTTGACATCCAACTGATGCAGAGGCCAAGAATGGGTAGCAGATAAGGAAATAAGCAGTCGCACAGACGTCAACTTTGCCATAGGAGCAAAGGTAGCACTAAAATCTTTGCCCGGAATCTGAGTAAAGCCTTTTGCCACCAACCGAGCTTTATACCGATCAATAGAACCATCAACTAAGTACTTCACATTAAGACCCATTTGCAGCCAACCGTTTTCTCCCCAGCAGGTAAAGCAACAAGTTCCCATGTATTATTATGTTGTAAAGCATCCATTTCTGTTGTCATGGTAGACACCCAATTGGGATCCTGGAGGGCCTCTGACACGGATCGAGGAATAGAAACGGTCCCAATCTTGCCCAGGAAGGATTTATATGCACCTGAAAGATCATCATAGGAGACATACTGGGAAATAGGGTGGTTAGTGCTACTAGAAAAACCATACCAATTAGGAGGGTGACGATCACGGGTAGGATAACGGGAGGTATGCTTAGGAATGGTAGGAGCCATAGGAGAAGGAGAGTTACCTGGACCTGGTTTCGAAGATGATTCTTGCAGGGGAGGTTGAGTGCGATGGCGACGAGAGTAGACCTGTAAAGGTGGAGGGGAACCCTGCATGGATGCAGAAGGAGATTCTAGGACAGTGTGATTTTCAAAGAGAGGAACAGGACGGGCAATAGGAGAAATCTCCTTCTCCAGATCAAAAGAGAGAGAATCCTGTACCACAGAATTAATACTATAAAAAGG